AGGATCATGGCATCTAGAGAATTTGGGAAATATGCACTCACCACAAACAGAAAAGGCCTGAATCGCCTCTGAAAAGGGTTGTGGCAGCTTTGGTGGCAGTCTGGTCAGAACGGCTGCATAGTCAAACAGCATATTGCCCAATTCAGTGAATGCCAGCGAGCTGGCGCGACTGAGATCCGTGAGGGCGGCGTCAGAAGTTTTTTCTGTGGTTTGCGTCGGGGACTCGGGGCCGCTTAGTTCACCTCTTAATCGCCCAAGTTCCTGGTTCCATTTTGTTATGGCCAGTCTCATCTTCTGCACAAACATTCCACAAACACGCTGATTGGAGAGCATCGCTTGACGGTGTGTGCGAAAAAGCTCCACAAAAGCCTGCACCCGTGTAGTCTCCACATAGGCCTGGGGAGTGGTCACGGGAGGGCGGTAGTTGAGCAGGAAGGAGGAACAGTAGCGGGTGTAGAAGTCACGAGAGGCTATGCTGTTGGAGAAAAGAAACCGCTTATGACCGCTGCGGTGCACCAGATTGTACAAACGGCGGAGCAGCAATAGGGAGGAGGTCTCGGTCTGCGCCGCCGACATAGCCGCGTCGATGAAGTCGAAATCGTCACGGGTGAGAATATCGGCCCGAGAGGGGGGATTAACTGCCCAGCGCCGTTCCAGGTCTCCGATGATGTCGGAAAGTAGATCGAACATGCGATAGCCACTGACTGAACCAGACTTACTGAGCAAGTGTGAGTTCATGACAGCACGAATGAGGTTGGCGTAGAGGCCCAAACTTGGCTCAATGCCACGTTTTTTTGCTGCCTCGAAAACGCCAAGTGCCTTGGCAGCGTAATCCGGTGGATGTGAAACCTTTCTGATGGCGGTGGCGGCGACGGCCTGATCATCTTCTGCGGCAGCCTCGCGTAAAAACGTGCCTATGGCGAAAAGGATATTGGAGAAGGTTTCACAGCTAGGGACCAAATTGTCGGCTTTGACTAAATCCAGAATCTGTTGGACGTAGGGCCACACATCACGAGCTTCAGCAGCGGCAGTAAGACGGGGTGTACAACGAAGGAGGGCATTGTAAGCTGTTAACGGAAGTCGGTGTCCGGCCCTGCGGGCCTCTTCCATGAGGGTCCAGGCGCGGTCCGCCCCATCGAATTTTGCAGCCCCCCGAATCATGCTACAGTATGCTGAGGTAGTGTGAAGTTCAGGGGGTAAATCGGCCCAGAGCTGCTCTGCCGGTCCGTTAGGCAACCAGAACAAGGTGTCGTTGTCTCCGCTGATTTCAGTTTCGTGCACTTCATCTAATTCAACTTTTTCCACCTTATCTTCCTTCTCCTCCAATTCCACCTCCGAAGAGGAGGAGTCAGATGACTCAGGTGTGGCGCTAGCGATGAGGAATGAATCTTTGGGAGCAGACTTGATGTTCCGAGAGAAGATACGGTTCTCCTTGGCAAAGAAGAGTTCTTCCGGATCGGGTAGGTTGCCACGGTCGATGAAAGGCAGGTTTTCGAAGAAATTGGCACCTCCAGCACCACTGTTGGTTGCGCAGAGCAGGTCTAGCAGACGGTGGAGGACTTCGGGTTTCCATGATTTATGCTAACAATTGATTGAAGAGCAGAAGATACACGTTAGGCACATTGATATTGACTCATCAGAAACACGCACAGAAGACTTCGTGGGAATGTCTCGGAATGCAGTACGACGGGACGGCCCAACCAGATGTATAAAAACAACTAACTAGCATTCGGGACACGAAATAGGCCGGTTAGACAGCTTTACTTCTGTGTTATCACTAACATAGACGAAATGCTGATCAGTCATGTCGTGTGGGGAATGCAGTGTCTGACAGAAGGAATAAAACAAGTGAGGTCGGCAGGTTTTTCACTCGCATTCCTGATTCGTTTGTGGACGGCAACTAGAAAGTGTTGCGGTCTGCGCTGGCACCAAAGCCAACTTGCATACTTCCGGAATACGACGAGGAGGCGAGTAGAAAGCAAAGCCGGACCTGCAAAGTCGCGCTTTGCCCTAACCCAGATAACACTCCTCTAAACTTACTGCGTGTCAAATGCCCTGACTCTTAAGGTTGGCATATCGGAAGGGATGGCTCATTCATAGTTTGGCCTTGTTGCAACTCTCGCCTAAATTATGACTAAGCGTGTGAAGGCAGTTTCGTGTTGATTGAAGGGCCAGCACGTATGGCACACAAGAAATGAAACCCCACGCCCGATCAGCCAACAAGCCCATGTACGCTCCTCCAGGACGTTAGAAAACCCAAGAAGACACGGCCTGCCTGGTAGCATAGCTGTGGACTACCCAGCGAATCTACGGGTAGCAGAGAGTGGAAGGATCCTAAGCAAAGGTGTGATGCGAAACAAGCAGGCTACCGGGCTCGATGGATAGGCAATTAGGAGTCAAGCAGTATTAGTCGCGGTATGGCTGGGTACTGATCCGGCGAATCAGTTGTGCGTAAGAAGTCACGAATCATGGCGGTGTTACAATGTGGTGGATGTCGCGTTCCATCAAATAAGGCCTCAACCGCTGCCGTTTGGCGCAATCCTATGAAGTGGAAACAAGGGCCCTCGAATTCAGGCTCTACAGGAAACAATCCCCACAGCGTCGCTCCAAATAACTACTGTTCAGCGATAATCGGCTCCGCAGAGTCTTTAGCTAACTGGAAGACTTTGATCTACGTGCTCTGGTTATACTCGCCGAATTCCGACGCCGAACGGGGCAGGTTCCTGTACAATGACGATAAGGCCACCTTCGGTTGTTCTGACCTGGTTTTGCCGCTAATACGGCTGAGACTACTCGCTAGTCACCGCTGTCACCCGCTCCGCCAAGGTTGTTTTGGTCATTATCAATCACAGGGTGCGTGTGTGCGCCTGCATACGTGTGCACATCATTTCCCTCACTCCGTTCCCCTACGTCACCAGGATAACGCTATTGCGTGCGCAAAACGGCATAAAGGTTGGAGCGGAACTCGGGGCCCACTCAGCCCCGACGCCAAACAAAAGCCTGTGGCGTCGGGACGATGCACGAAAATGGGTCTGACAACGAGCGATTGGGCGCAATTCGCAAACGCGGCATGCTGCTCCTGTCTGCCGGCAAGACAAGGACGTAATGTACAAAGGGGTGTGACCAGATACGCCGTCACTAGAAGTACCACACCTTCCCATACGATGCACAGAAAAGCGCGCAACAAGACCTTTCACTTGAAGTGACTTTCGCTTTTATGATTCGGCACAGCTACCTGCCTGGCATTTTGACCATTTAGCCACGAGCTTCCTCTTATGGAGTATTGCAAACCAATTCGTACCAAGTGGATAAATAAAGCTCAGCATAGGCGACTTGCTATTTATAAACATCGACGCATTGTTTATGGAAAGACCAAAAGAGTGTTTTGCCCAGGTAGTAAGGAGAGGGTTTAAAGTCTGGGGTAATGCCAGCCGAACGGTTACTCACCGATTTGGAATCGACGTACAGTGACCAAGCCCCCTTCGGATGGAGCAGAAGGAGCAGACGATCGATGGCCTCCTCCTCGGAGATTACGCCTGCGTCAAACTGACTCCGAATGAATTCTGCCGTCTGTAGCGGCACTAAACAGTCTATGCGGGGAAGCTAGGCAAAAGGCGTTTTAAACAAAAGGTTATGAGAGGTGTGAAGTTTATGGTTGGAAAATTGCTGCAATCGTCGACTAAAATCGATGTACTTGGCGCTCTGTTTAGTGTAACAATTCAGTTTCGGTAAAAAAAGGACGTCACAGTAAGGATTCAGGATGTCGAAGATACTGTAGTGGGATAATTGGCCTAAAACAGGTATGACGGGCTTAACCAGATGTAAGTCACCTGATCAAACGGGGTAGTGCAGACGACATGGTGGGAAACTGGAGGCACATAGTGGCGTAGGAGACGTGAAGATGACCTGAGCTCAGATGACGACATTGGGGGCGGTCTCAGTTTAGAGCAAGAAAACTGGGTAATTACCCGTGTGTATCTATATCTTCCGTGATCACCAATGAATTAATTAGAACCAGTGTCCACATCATTGCGAATCAATGCAACGGACACCGTACTCTGTGAAACTGCGTCACCGTCGACTCTTCGGACAGTAATGCTCACGTTGCGTTTGGACGCTGATGTTGGGGCTCATCTTTAAAGTATTTGAGACTTTATGGTGAAAACAGTTCACTCAGTTTAAGCGGTCAGATGAAGTTTTACTATGCTTATCCAGGCTGAGAACGTTCGGGGAGAAACTAAACAAAAGCCGCCGACCGCGCAGAATACCTCTTTTGCGAGGGCGGTGAGGTCGTTGGGCAAGAAAGTGCGAGCCACATGCCGAGCTGCGTTACGACCAGCCACCTTCGCTTGCAGGAAAGTCCTTGAAAGAATGCTCGAACTCAACCAGGGCTCTGGCAGACAGCGGTAGTCGGGCAGGCCAGTTGCTGGCTCGACAGTAGAACTAAGGGCCCGTAGGACAGAGACTTCGTCCCGATAGCGCCTTCTCGGTGGTTCAACGTTGCCGCTTGACTCCTCTGCCGCCACCACTTGCGATGACTCCAGGCGTGCCCAATGAAAGAGACACAAAAGACGCCCCAACCGACCACGCCTCACCGACTTGAGCATGCCTTAAACGAAGGAAAACTTGAATCACTGACAGAGTAAAACGGTAGAGTCAGCAACAGTCTGCCAGAACGCTAACAAAGTAGACAAAGAGTGATTTATATAGGGAACAGGTTTACAAGTGTGAAGGCGGGGCAGAGAGGGTGGGACGTCCAGGACACATAAAGACAATTTAAGATAGTAAGGTGAGAGAGGAAGAGAAAAGGGCATAGGGGACGGAACCAGGGAAGGTGGGTCGTACATAAAAGGAGCAAGAATGGTGTGTTTGTGTATGCGTAATCGTCGGCGCGCGTGCCGGTATCACAAGTACGAAAGGGGAGGAAAGAGAGAGGGTGTGCGCACGGTAGTAGTACTGATGAGAAAGGGTCGAGGTGGGCAGCTGCAATTTCCAGAAGACTACCGGCGTTTGAGAACGCCGCTGCCATCCAAACGAGAGCGGGTGCGCGTCATCGGCACCTCTTGCTCTGAGCTTGGGCTGGCGGGTGATGGGGAGAGAACAGCCTCCTGAGACTGCCGTTGTGTGAAACTTGATCGCGTAAGACGCGGGGACGGCGGATTCGGCGATAACGACATCCCGTTGACTGGTTTCCTTATTAACGCAGCGCGGGCACGCTTGGGATTGGGCGAAGAGTCAACAGCTGTCCCTGAGGAAAACTTGGTAGGGTTGACGGAGAGCGGGTCATCATTGGGTCGCTTCCGTGACCTCGCCAGTGGAGGGCTGGGGGCGACAGCAAGTTGTTCAACCGAAACAACTTTAGAAGAGCGCAGACTGTGCTGGCGACCGGGAGCGCGTGGTACCAGTGCAGATGAAGCCGAGTCGCCGTCCGACTGTGGCGGGGGCTTTGGGGCCACAACTGACACCGAGCGTACTAAAAGAATGAAAAATTATTCCTATAGAAGAGCAACTGTGTCCGTTTCTAGCGATGACAGGGTGGCCAAATGGTCGAAATGCCACCTAAATGAGTCATATCCTCCAGCTCAAAATGCCCAGTCTTAGGTTCCTGAAGAGTAGTGACCAGTCGGTACTCCGAGTTATTCGAATAGAATTAATTACTGGCGCTTAGTGACCTGAGTCAGCTGGTTACGTTACAAAGAAACGGTGTTTACCAACCTATCCTGATTGCAGGACGGAGCACAGGGGTCTCGTTTGCAGTGGAATTCAAAGTACAACTTAGGCAGGTGACCGAATAACGATGGACAGTCAGCAATCAATAAGCTTTACCCAGGGAGACAAGAGAACGAACATCTACCAACACCACTATCACAAGCTGGCTAAGCCGGAATGACCAGAGATTGGAGCCCGATTGATCTACTCATTGAGCACCTTGTTTAAAAGGCCAGCAGCCGGTCCACCGCTAGGGCAAGAGATGTCACTCAAGCAAACGCCTCTATTAAAACGAAGCCTGCGAAAGCCATTGTATAACAAAACCATAGTCGGACAAGGCTTGCCTTAAATTCAAGAATGTAATCATTACAAAGAAGGGGAAATATAAAGACGAGTTGTGAGCATGTTCACAAAGCAAGACTTGACCTACGTCGCGTCTTGGGGGAGATCTTTCTGGTCTTGGTGTTGGAGGAGGACGAGGAAGAGGAGGAGGAGTATTTGGGTCTGGCCTGGAAAGATGAAGATGACGAGGAGGCCCTAGAAGACTTTCCTGGGGTACTGGAGAGTACTGGAGCTGCCAGTGGGTTTATTTTGGAGGGTGCAGAATTTGTGAACCAGTACTCTCTCGAGGCGTCCAGATACATGATAAAGAGGCACAGATGACGCAACACAATCGCTCGTCTACACTTTGTTAGGGCCATTTGGTTTATTAGCGTGGGTAGACGAACTTGGGGGGGAGGGGGAGACAAGGGCGGATTTAGAATTAATAAGCCGGACGCGCATGTCTGGTTTTTCATATACAGTCATAATAACAGAGAGTAGCATAATGCATAAACATGATAAGGAGTGGGTCGAACGCAGGCAGGGGGCAACACAAACAGAAAGGAGGATAGAAATATCGTCTATCTCATAAAACGCGCTAATGGCTTCTCGGTAAAACAAGTGACTCTGCCGCATTTACACCAATAGTATAGTCAGGTTACACTGCGTACTGCTTCTTAGACAACGGAGGCTTGGATATGCACATGCCCAGCTGAGGTGGAAACTACACCATGTCCTTCTACTACGTCCGATGATCACATAATCACCAGCTCTTTTTGTCAATTGTAGAAAATTCAAGCGCAGCTTCTAAAAAAGTCGTAGGAGCGTTGCATGGTTTTCCCTTCAAGCGAATTTATGAGAGAGTTGGCGGGAAAGAAATATTTAGCATGCCCAAACGGTTCTGGTGGAGCTGTTTAGTTAAGTCTGATGAAAAACGGGCGCACTACTTGAACCAAGCGAAGACCCCGATTTTCAACCTACCAGCCCGATGTTTCTGTGTTTGCATACTTGACAGTCGCCTAGACGACGGTTGCGATTAAAGCCCTCTTCTGATGACAGCAAAAGATGAGATTCAAGCTAACATTACAGCAACGGCAGATACGGGCATTTGAAAACAAAGTCACTCAACAGTAACGGTCGGATGTTGTGCCTTTGGAAGGCATCCTCATGAGGCAGATCGACGTCCGCATCGCTAAAAATGCAGTCTCTTAGGAAACAAGTCGGGTTAGACTATTAGAAAGATTGCAATGAAGTCAGTTTGGGAACTATGACAATGAGAGCAGAACGTGCGGAATTAGAGCTACTGAGTGGTGCCACCAAGATACCTCGTTTGTTATCATGCGACGAAACAGATTACAATCTCCGATCTAATGTTTGTAGTGAATGGCTACAAGTAATTACCATATTCAGGAATCCAGTTCAGTGTCAAAAGTGGAAACATCGATTTGGAGACTGACTTACCTACTGTGACGTGAGATGACAAGGGAAAGAATAAATGGCTTACAGAAGACAGGCAGGCGGCTCGCCAGCAGATGGAACGCAGCGCCACGTATGGTAGTGGCCCTAACAACAATCGCACTTGACTTCAAGTCCTTCCCGAAAGAGTTTCGAAACCATTAGCTTCACATTCACATACCAGAAATCACAAAAGATTCTGGAAGATCCCGTAAAGAGCTGACCGTTTGCTGATCTTTATGTATACGGGGTGGAGGCATATTGCCCTGTTTGACCACAATACATGCGGACAAATACTACTGCCTGACCTGTAGATGTTGGACGGGCGGGACTGCACTTCAATGGCCTTAGGAAATAAATGGACGTTTTGCCAAAAAGGCCACCTACCTAAAAGTCGGAGAAGATAGATCGCCTCGTACGTAAGACACGGAAGAGATGGGGAACGCTCGATCTCCTCAGGAGGCAAAAGGACAGTGGAAGCCCAGTTGGAGGACGTGTTGCCCTTTCGAGCTTCGTGGCGTGTAAGCGGCCTTGAAAACCGAAACAGTAAAGGGTTAAGTCTCGAATGGACACTATCTTTAAGTATGTATATTATTCAACAATTCTGAGTTCAAAACTATCAAAATAGCACAACATGGTTACCATGCCGATGATTCTTAATGAGTGTTATGAAAACTGCGAGCGGATTGACCATAAATGATTGAATCCGTACCAATAAACCGTAACATCCAAAGACTGACGTTGATAGAAAACAAAATTGGGCTTTTGCTCACTGCTTGTTTCGATCACATATTCAAATGGACCAGTCCAAGCTACTTGCACCTGACTGTCAGTTCGCAGTCCGATGAGCTGGGTTTTCTCCGTAGAAAGTTTGCTCGTGGGCAGGACTTCTGTGCATATATTTGTCGGAACTGGAAGCACGGCTGATGCGAGCCCCAGACCCAAGTTAAGAGATCCTGTGAGAAAACCCTGCGCAATTTTTGAAACCTACAGTAGATACGCTATCTCATGAAATGCGACCGAAATTCTGAAATGTGTCTTTAATTCCAAAAGATTACTTTGGTGGGGTTTAAATATTAATTATCATGTCCGCATAATGTTAAGATATTTCGATCAGTTGGGATGCCAGCTTCCGATGCCTTGTAAAAGCTGTATTATGTAAAAACGACTACTTAAGTAGAGAGAATTTTTGCCACTGATTTCTGAAGGTACTACAAATTCAGGTATAATTTTTAAAAAGGATCGACAGTCATATTCTTCCCCCTACTCATTTAGTAGAAAATTTCGTCTTCTTCAAATTGTATACTTGAAGAAAAAGTATCGGTATTAAAAAACTTTCTTAGTTCCCGAATAATTTTGAACCCGACCTGACGTTACACTTACATTCGATTTCCAAACTAAAAGTTGTATACTTTTCGTGCAAAGAAGATCATCCATTCCTATATCCTATTATGAAAAGGGCGTCTAGGGTCCATAAAATCTTGTAATTGATGTGGGCTACGCTGTCTAATTTACAACGGCATTAATAAATGTCCTGGTCCGATGCTGTGCGACTGAACATTTCACTGTCTTAAAAAATCTAGCGATTAGAAACTTCTTAAAACCAAATGGCACTCTTTCTTCAAGTATCATTTTTTTAAAAAAGTTTATTTGCTATCAAACGAGTAAAACAGGAATGTTGTTATGCATGTTTTCTGTAAAATATATTCGAATTCACAGGGGCATCGAAAATCAACGAGGAAAACTCATGCCGCCTAAGTGATCATTTTTACGAAATATGGTCTACGAAGGCGATCCATAAGGAGCTCGTTCGAAAGTCGAAATCCTGACGTGGCTGGGATATCTTGGTATTATGCCACATGATCATTTATATTACGAGCATACTTAGAAAGTCCTTTCGATTCAAAAGCGCAATTCAGAATTTCGGTTGACATTTCCTGAGTTGGCGGCTACTGTGCATCGACCGACTTCTCCAAACAGCTCATCATCACCCGAACACTGTTTGAATTCGGCGAAGACAGTTGTTTTGTCATGGTCATCATAGACTACCTTACCAAAAGATGCGATGCTACATCCATCAGCAAGCGTGAAAGCATCACCTGACAAGAATTCTGATCGACATCTGGATGATTCGCTACGAGTTCATGTAAATTATCCATGCCGACCGTGATTCTGGCTTCGTAAGCCCTATTTTACCCCGACCGTTTTCCGAAAAAGACAAAAATGTAAAAGAGCGAGGCAAGACTCAATAAGGTGTTCGCATAAGGGCCTATTTTGAAAATGACGAAATCTACAATGCTCCAGGGAAAAGGACATTTAGGAGAGAGACTTTCCAGTCTTCCAGGCACGGTGCTGTCCCCTGTTTGAACCTGCCTCTGAATTGGCACTTTCTAAAAACTGAAACTATGAGCGAAGTTGGCGAACGGGGGGTTTACGATTCAAAAGCCTGACCTAAGGGTGGTGATGACGATAGACATAATTGTGGTTCCCTGAAAAGGTTGACAAGACACTGGCTGGCCGAAATAAGGACGCTCATCGGAACAGGAGAGGTGTTAATCTTTAAGGTCTACGTGACGAGCAAAAGGTGGTCGTGTGGATGGGGATGATCGGTCAAGAAATACACCCACTTTAGCGGCCTTTTTCTCGTGGTTATTTTTGGCATTCAAAGTGCAACCTAAATGAAAGAATAAGAGCCTCGTGCGATCCCTCGGTATGGATCAGGAGGGGGCTGATCGAATAACGGAGTATCGAGGGAGGCTTAATAAGGTTTGAAAAACGTTTATAGAATTAGTTCAAAAGGGACCCCATTTAATAATGGTTAAACGCATCGACCCCGGTTAAGGAAAATAGCAAGATATGAAGCGTAGAGTAAACGAGAAAAAAACGACAAAACCGATTTAACCCCAAGGAGCAGTCTGGGAGGGTATATCGCATCTCGTGCCTAAAGTGTCCTTGCAAATACGCAGGCCGGGCCGGACACATGTTTGGATGGCGCATACACGAACATGAGCTGGCTGTGCGATAGGGCAACAAATTATCACAGGCTGGTGTCCACACCTATGAAACGGGTCATGAGTTCGACTTCGCGCCCTGACAAAATAGTCGCTCACGCCGCAAGCATGACAAGTCAAGAGTGGATTGAAGCTTAGACCTAGGATGAAAAATCAGTCAATCGATGTACCGACCGGGAGGCGGTGTACAGAACCCTGTGCAGTCACTTCCAGTTATGCGTAACTGGGTAGTACGCTCTATAACTGTCGCTTGTGCTGTTGATGCCCCTATCTGACGATGGACTCCTGTACAAGTTCGGGAACTTAAAGCAACAAATCGATTGTTTCGGTGCTCGATCATGCTCCTTTACTCATGGATACACCTGCAACTGGCACATTTGCCTTCATTTATAACCATAAACCTCTCGGAGACTAATTCTCAGATGATGACCACATTGACCACCGCCCCACGGATCTGGCGAATAAGCAATCGTGGACCGGCAGCGATAGCGCCACTGGATGTGGAAGGCTGAGGTCCGGCACGCCGACTGTCCTATAAAATGCCGCAAAACCCAGTGACGGCACTGCGACATAGCGATTGTGAACCGTCATTAGATAGGTTTGCTTGCCACCACTACCTTGTGGCTAGGCTATTGAACCAAGGTGTTAGAGGAGACAACCTAGAACAAATAATTCGAGCGGCCGTTAGGGACCCGCCTCTATTCATAATTTCCACGAAACGTCATGAAAATATGCCCCATTACGATGTTATGATCTATGCTACGACGTCCGCGGGACCGACGCGCTCCGCAACCCTGGTCCAGTGGTGCTGAAAATAGTATGAGAGTTGGACTACTCAATCTGGACCGGACTCTTAGAATTGGACGATGGATGTGCGAATGTTTATGGACCCTGGCACCCACAATCTGACGGTGCACAGTCTTCATCACTGCATTGCGGATGTCTGCTGCCTGTCCGAAGTCCAAATTCCCGACTCGGGCGTACGGAAAATAAAGATCGCGGGAGTCAACTCACACGTCACCCTGTACTACAGAGACCCACCCGACCCTTCCGGTAGACACAGTATGGCGATTACCCTCTCACAACATGCAACCGTGGCCTATTTGCTTGGAAACCAGTCAGTGACCGGATGGCCTACGTGCGACTAATGGGTTACTTTACGAACATCACTGTCGTCTCCGCGTACGCACCAAAATCAGTCGCCGAACAACGCGATGTTTTTTTTACTTCTTGCTGTAGGCGTTAGTTGAAGGACCTCCCCGTCGTGATCTGCTGATTGCTGGGGTCTGAAATGGCCGGACTGGACTTGGCGATTTTTCAAACGGTCACCGTATCAGCCGCTTTGGCCTTGGTGAAAAAATTTTCTAATCAGAACCGACTATTTGTCACCAAAACGTGCCTTCAGCATCGCCAAAAACATCTGTTGACCTGATACGTAAACGGCCGGCATACGGCCAGTCGGACCGATCACATTCTAATTAGTCCACAATAGCAGATGGATGTGTTGCGCTGAAACTGGTAACGCCCATGGGCTAGACCATGTTCGCTTTCGCATATGCTTGAAAGTTCCTTCCTCATCTGCACCCAGGACGCTGCGTGAAAGACGCCTTGAGGTCGTCAAACTTCAACAGGCATGCACCATCGAATCCCTGAGGAGAAAAATCCCGTCCTGTTTCACGACCCGGGCCTATGGAAACACTGAGCGACTCTTTGCGGTGCAAATGGCTGGTTTACTGATGCAACTCGACCAAAATCGATCGCTGGCGTGAACACTTCGAGCATCTTTTCAATTTTTATGAGCAACCGATCATATCCTCGCTTTTCTCTGCAGCGGAGTTTTGTCCCTTTCTAATCTGTGCAAAAATGCGGCCCTCTTCTGAAGAACTCGCTGATGCGATACAAAGGCTGCGTAACAACAAGGCATCCGAAGAAGACGGTCTTTCCGCTGAAATCTGCAAGTCTTGCGTCGACAGTATGGCGCCTAGCTCTATGACTTGATTGGACAGGCGTTGAGAGGTGTGGTCGTTTCTGATGGGTATCCTTGTGCCTGTCTTCAGGAAGGATTATAAGACAGGATGCGAGAGCTGTTGTATAAATCTCTTGACGTTGATGCGAAAGTCTTCGCCGCGGTCCTTATCAGGCGTTTCCAGGCTACACGTGATTCTGGAATGAGGCCTAACCAGGTTGGGTGTGAATGTGCCGACCAGATACTCACACTGAGGCGCATTCTCGAATTTCGCCATAGCCCCCAAAAGGCAGCCGTCTGCCTTGTTGACTTCACTGCTGTATTCGATTCCGTTCATCGTGAGTGCCTGTGACGAACAGTTGAACAAGATGGCGTGCCGGCGAAAATCACCACCACCGGCGAAAATCATCACCACCAACCACCGCGTAAGTTTTACTCCATAGCAATCCCTCCCAGTCGTCAGATATTCGGTCTGGCGTTTCGTCATGCTAACATAAGCCCCTGACCAAATTTCATCTCATCCACTACCCTTCTATTTCTCGTTTTAGTTCCATTACGTCAATTGCGTCATATCCTAGAGTGTTCTCGTTCTGATTCTTGCATCCTGATTTGTTCGTGCTCTCCCTGCTTGCTACGGTCCTAGCTACAACACGTTTGACAAAGCTATACCATGTCGCCCATTCTGCTCAACTATACGAAGTCGACGACGTTGAATTTGCACCCAGCCTCCGGCTGACTGATCTCGACTCCACTAATATCGCTCTACTGGTTTCAAGCCTTGAAGAGCCACGGTCTACCGTGTCACGGTTAGTGAGGTCACTAAATCCACCAGTTTATTCACAAACGCTGGGAATACAAAAGTGTTTCCAAGCTGCATCCCTGACCAGGAGAAGGCGCTTCTCGAGATAGATGGCTGTCAACTTGAAGATGTAGACAGTCTCAAATACCTCGGGGCGAGGCTGCTGCCGAATGGACAGAGTAAGGACAACATCGCCTCCCGAATCAACGCTGCTCGTTGGGCTTTATCAAGCCTTCGACACGACATCTCCATCGCCACGAAGATTCATGTGTGCCGTGCTTCCGTCCAGAAAGTCCTTATGTACGGTTGTGGATGATGGACCGTGTGCGTGGAATATGAGGTATTTGACCACAACTGCTTGAGGAAAATCCTACGAGTGAAGTACACAGACTTCCTCTCAAATGAAATAGTCCGCACTCGCTGAGACAACATCGCAAGGATATCTCATGCCATTCAGGCGACTGTTGTGGTTCGGACACGTTCTTAGTCTGCCACCTGACGAGCTCAATATTGTTGTCCCCGGGCCCGCACAATTACTTACTTAGAGGCGTCGAAGAGGGAGCCAACTCAAAACCTAGCTCGACACAGTCCGTCACGACATGGAGGTGGTTCTTGGGACCTCGGTATTTGGCCTCCGTCGCTGGCGAAGAGAATGGACGATGTTGTCCAGATCTGCTGTTGCGGATCATCGCGCGTGAAGAAGGACTATTCGCGACGTCATCGAGGCCGGTTAGGTCAGACATAGTCGCAGTCGTAACAAGTCCGAGTACAAGCAGAAAGATCAGAACTCTGGCTAAATGCGTACGAGCAATACATCAATCTCAAATGCATCTCAGACTTTCAAAAAAAGTCGCCTATTAGTTGCTGAAAGGTCAGGGAGGCGACCTTGTTACTTAATTCTGAAGGAGGAGGTAAGTAGAAAATGAGGCCACGTGAAGCCAGTCAGGTCATATCGTCTCTGGTATTCAGGTGAAGTTCGCGCCTCGGACAAAGATAAATTATACAAGGTCTACGTCCGTTCGGCCGTCTCATGAGGATTGGGAAGTGGACCGCGGCATACGCTTGTACCTGTTACACATACGTGGAAA